TTTTTTTTTCCCCCCACTATGGTCTACCACACCAGCATCGCTTTGCCTGGACCACTGGAATAATGTCTACTCTGAGCCTCCTTTCTATCAACTATTCTTTTCACACCAGTTAGAGAAATCTTTTACAGTAGAATCTGTATCATGTCATTTTCCTGCTTAAAACCCTTGAGAGACTTCTCATTGGCCTTGGAGTGAAATCCAGCCTCCTCACTGCAGCCTGCAGGGCCCTCCATGATCTCTTCCCTGCTGGCCTCTCAGAGGTCGCGCCCTATTCCTTGCTCGCTGGGGGCATCATGGCCTTTTTCTGTGCTTTGCACTGAGCTCTTCCTTCTGTTTGAAACAATCTTAAGGCTTTTCACATGGCTATCTTTTTTCTCATCTTTAGGATCTGAGCTCAGAGGGAACTTTCACTGAGAGGCCATCCCTATCTATACTTTCTAAATAGTCCTACCGTTCCCCAGGAATCTATTTTAATTTCTGCATTACACAACTACCTGATGGTGGCTTTTCTCTTCTCACTATGTGCAGGAGTCCAGCACATTCTCTTTACCACTATATGGCCACTGCCTACCAGGAATACTTTTCGAAATGGGACCACGTATGCACTCTGGTTATACCTGAACAAAAAGACATGAATTAGAACAGAGTAGGTGAAGGTTGGGTTAGGGTGGAAGGATTTGGGGTGATTTTTGTTTTCTTTTATCTGTGCCGGGTTTTTTTTTTGAGTTGTTTAATGAAGTTATAGAGGGAAAGATAAATGTATGAATTTACAAATCTAGAAGTTTAATTTTCTAAAGTTGTGACAGTGCTGTCCAATAGAATTTCTATGATGATAGAAATGTTCTGTGTCTGTACTACCCAGTCCTATGTGGCTGTTGAGGACTTGTAATGTGAATGGTGTGAGTAAGGAACTGAATTTTTAGTTTTATTTAATTGTAATGAAATGGCTGTCATTTTTAATGGCTGCATCATATTCCATCGTATGGATACACCAACATTTAAAATAATCATTTTCATGTCTGTGTCTCTTACCATAAATACTTTTTATAGCTACTTAATATTCCATTATATAGAAGTACCATAATTTATATAACTGTTCCCATATTGTAAGCATTTAGATTGTTCCTGGGGTTTTTTTTTCCTATTAATAATGCCATCATAAACAAAATTTTCCATATTTTATATTATTTCCTTAGAATTCTCTGAAATTGAATTAAGAGATCAAAGAATATAAACATTTTAAGGCTTTTAGAACATAAAATGAAATTGCTAGTGGCACACTTCTTTTGGAAAGTAGTGGATGAGAGTGCCTGTTTTACCACAGTCTGACCAGCATTATTATAATTTTAAAGATTGTTACCTAATTGGATATACAAAAAATTGTTTTGCTCATTTAATCTACATTTTTTTGGTAGCTTATAAAGGTGAAGTTAAATATTTTCCACATGTTCGTTACTGAAGAATTTCTTTCTTGTTGAGATATATTAAATTATATACATTAAATTTTCATATACACCATGGTCTATTTCTACACACATATTCTGTACCATCAGTTTGTCTTGTTATTCTCATATCTGCACCACATTTCTTTAATTACTATAGTTGTTTAATATGTGGTAGCATTGAGCAGAAGTATTCCTCTAGTATTCTGCTTTTCCAGTATTTTCTTAGGTGTTTTTTTAAGATTTTATTTATTTATTTGAGAGAGAGAGAATGAGAGACAGAGAGCATGAGAGGGAGGAGAGTCAGAGGGAGAAGCAGACTCCCTGCTGAGCAGGGAGCCCGATGTGGGACTCGATCCCGGGACTCCCAGGCTCATGACCTGAACCGAAGGCAGTCGCTTAACCAACCGAGCCACCCAGGCACCCTTAGGTGTTTTAATTTGCTTATTTTTTTCCAAATAACTCAGAATTATTTTATCCTAATCAAAACAAAGAAATAATTTGGAATTAGACTGTAATCCTCCCCTTCCCATGAAGATATAGATATATTTGGGGGAAATGGGAAGAAAATTGATATATCTCACCTTCTAATCAAGTCTTCTGTTATATCTCTCAGTAAAGCTTTGTAGGATTTTTATTTCTTATGAGGCCTGCTTAGATCTTAAACTCAAATTTTTTTATTGTGGTAAAATACATATAACGTATAATTTACCACCTTCACCATTTTTAAGTATACAGTCGGTGGCGTTAAGCCCACTTACATGGCTGGGCAACCATCACTACCATCCATCTCCAGAACTTTCTTCATCTTTCCCAACTGAAACTCTGTACCTATAAAACAGTAATTGCCTGGTTCCCCAATTCCCCGATCAAGCTCAGGCCCCTGGCAACCATTCTATTTACTTTCTCTGTGAATTTGACAACTCTGGATACCTCATATAAGTGGAACCATGCAGTCTTTGTCCTTTTGAGCCTGGCCTGTGGCACTTAGCCTAATGTTTTTAAGGTTCATCCACACCCAGCATGTGCATTTCCTTCCTTTTTAATGGTGAATAAGAATCCATTATATGTATGTCCCCTATTTTGTTTATATATTCATCCATCAATGGACACTTTGGTGCTTCCACATTAAAGTAAAATATTTGTTTTTATTTTTGTTGTTGCTCCTGCAGGTATGACACTGTTTTTGTTGTATAAATTTCAGCTGGGTTAGTGCTATTACATTTGAAAGCTACTAGTTTATGTTTAAAATTGTTATAACCAACCCCTTTATTAAACCCTTGTTAATTTTAATAGTTTTTCAGTGCTTCTCTCACATTTTCTAATTATACAACCATGTTGTTGGCAAATAATGAAAATCTGGTCTCGTCCGTTTTCATACATTTCATTTACTATTATTGAATTAGTCAACATTTTTGGAGCAGCATTAAGTAATAACAGTAAGACTGATCACCCTTTTGTTCCTGATTCAGAGTGTCTTCCTTAGTATGATGTGTGTTGATTTCCTTTTTACTATATTAGGGATATATTTTTATATTCGTAGTATTTTAGAAGAGATTGGCATGTAAGATTAATTATAAATCAGGAACAAACACTGATTTTTTATGGAATGCTTTTTCCCTATAGGAGTTGGCCAAACTCACAGGTTAAAGGTATAGCCCTTCGTAAGACTCCCCTCACTTCAGACACCAGCCTCACTTTGGGAGTCCCCAGGGCTACCCTTACTTCTGACCCACTGGCTACAGTTTTGAAGGTCCCCTACTGATTCCTTCAATAATTCACTAGAATGACTCCCAGAATTCAGGAAAGTGCTATACTTACAATTAGAGTTTTCTTATACTAAAAGTTTTATTGTATGAATTAGAAGAGATGCATAGTTTGGGAGGATTCCAAACAGGAAGTTTTCATTATCCTCAGGGATATGGTACCCTTTCTGCCATGATGAGTAGCAATACTAACAGACTATTGCCAATCAGGGATGCTCACCCAAGCTTCGGTATCCAGAATTTTTACTGAGGGTTTATTAGATAGGCATAACCAGTTGAGTCATTGGCCAAGTAGCCAACTCAGTCTTCAGCCCTCCTCCCCACTCTGTCCCAGAGGTCAGGCTGATACACTGGCTCAAAGCCTCAACCCTCTAATCACATCCGTAGTCACCTCATTGGCATAAACTATCTGGTTTGGTCCAAGGGGCCCACTGTGAATAACTTCCATCACTTGAGAAATTCCAAGGATGTAGAGGTTACCTCCCAGGAATCAGGGACAAAGGTCTTTTATGCAATTGTCGATTGAGATAATTTGTATATATGTGACCCAAATTACATGTTATTAAATTATTAGATTATTTTTGATATTTTTAATATTTTTAATATTAAATAGATTAAATCATTTCAGTCAACAACTATGTAAGTGCCTACCATGTCTGTACATGTACATGTATTGTTTTATCAGGGCTCTGAGATAGATTTTTCCTTGCAGCATAAACCCTGCATACTCTTGGTGATTTATTCAAATTTATGTTGATAGTATTTTAGTTACTCATTCAACAAATATTAAGTATCCATCATGTGCTAGCTATAGCAGTGAGCCAAATCGACAAAAATCCCTTCATTCATGGCGCCTGCTTTTCAGTAGGAAATTTATATCCACATTCACAAGCCAGCGAGTCCTGTGGTTTATTGTTTGGGAGCTGTCATTGTTACATTTGGGTGATAGGGTGTTAGGGCCTGAAATGAATTGGCTAGCTTTTTCTTCACATAGGAATAGTTTATATATCACAAGAATTATCTTTATGTTAAAGTCTGAAAGAACTCATCTATGAAATTATATCTGGATTTTTTTGGATGTAATTTTTGATGTTTTCCGGTGTCTTTCACCATTGATTTCTTTGGACAGTTCATATGCAGTCACCTGGGTTCAAATCCCAGCTTTGCTAATTGCTACTGGTACAAGTGTGGGCCTTCGAAAATACCATTCCTCTGGGCAGAACAACACTTCCTGGTGTGTATCATACAGCATCTAGCTGTTTTGTGGTGGAGAGCCTTTTGAAATATCTAGATTATTATACTGCCAGGAAAGCAAATCCTTCAAACACATTATTCTTCTCTTGCTCTGTGGCCTAAGGCTTCAAGTTTTCACTCAACTGATGTGCAGGTGGATTGCACTGTAGAAAATTACATGCTTTTACCTGGTACGTTTTAAATCGATAGATTTTTGTAGCAATAGTTTGTGCAGTCGCTAGGATCAGATATAAAGACGAGCCTTTATGTTTTACATTTTGAAACCTCTTCTTTTCAGTTATAGCACTCGTGTTATATTTTATGATGCCTATTGTGAATGTAAGTGAAGTACTTGGACCCTTGTGCCTTATGTTACTTATGGGAACTGTCCACTGTCAAATTGTTTCTACTCAGATAACAAGGCCATCGGGAAACAATGGAAATCGGAGAAGAAGGTAAGATGAGAAATTACATTTGTAGTTGTGTATTTTCTGGGAGAGGCATTGTACACGCTTACAAAATCTTTGATGAAATTAATAACAAATCTTCCTGTTTTGCATGTCTTTTAAATTATTTTTTGGCTTTCACTTTTCTTCCCGATGACAGGAAACATTGTCATGACCTTTTAATCCCAGGTGGGATTTTGTCATTCAGTACAGTTGTTTAAGAGGAAAAATCTGACACTATATTGTACTTTATTAAAATTTACCTTAAATAGTGATGTTGAAAACACATTCTTCAAAATACAGTCTCAATCAAAATTTGGTGAAAATTCACTGTATAAAGAAGGATGTTAGTACATTAGTGCTACTAAAATTTTTACCTTTTTTCAATGGTACATAATAAAGATGGATTTCCAGGTATTCTGAGCTTTTAATAGAGATGAATTTGACATTTCTACACATTGAATTAACTTCATGTTTTTATTGGTTATGTGCTATATGTGATTTTGGAACTGTTAAAGGTTTTAATTTTTTTTTTTTAGGTAAATGTAGGTATATTACCTTCCAAAAGTTATATTATCATTCTTCAGAATATCTGTAGATTTTTGTTCCCCTAAACAGTTACTAAAGAAGATTTTTTTTTTCATTTGGTGTGATGAATTTCAACATATTTATTCTTATTTTTGAATGTTATTTTCAAGACTTTTTTTTTTTTTTACAAAAAAAAGGATTTCTTGAAAATTCTGTTCAATTAATTGAATGACTTCTAAGGAAATCACATGCGATGTATCCCATTGTGATTTATAGGATGTATCTTTTAACTGCTTCATGTATCAGTCAAAGTGATCAGTTGCTGTTATTTTGTGTTCTCTGAAGTGTGTCCAATGCATAGATTTCTGCCATTCATATTTAAAGGAATTGTTCCTTCTGCTAGTGGTGCTGAGTGTTCCTGAGAAGACTCTCAGTCATATGTGCGAAAATTTTCTTCTAGTAATATTTTGGAATATTAGTTCGATTTCTTTAAATATTGAACAAAATGATAGCATAGGACTTTGGTTTGGAATCCAATTTTGCCCTTTAGTCAGAAACATTATTGCACGATTTACCCTCCTTATATGAAATTCACTATACTTCATTTCACGTCGTAACCCATTGGTATCATTTTCTGTAGGGATATTTAGGGCAGAAATATAAAAGTTCTTGAATAATCTGAAGTTGTTCAATTTTTTTTTTTTTTTTTGGTAGAAAATTACGGAAAACTGTCAATGGCGATGGGAGCCGAGAAAATGGAAATAACTCCTCTGATAAAGTCAGAGGAGTGGAAACGTTGGACTCTCTTCCCCTTATTGGCAGTTTTTGGGAGACTCTCTTCGGCAACAGGTGGGAAGTCTCACACTGGAATGTTTACTTGATTTTATAGTCACATCAGTGTTAACCTAGTATGTAATCTAAGTAGGAGAAAACAGTGTAAGCATATTGTAATTGTGGTGTGAGCATTAAGGGTTCTAGAAGGATTTCCTTCCTCCAGGTGTCTCCACTGTCGGTCAGATTACCCACAAGTCCAAGAGTCTACCATAAAAGTTTCATTCTGTTTGATCTTTAATGATATTTTAGATCACAAGTTTACAGAAAAATAAATACTTGGAAAGGGTAAATATTTTAAGCCATCTCAGCTAACATCTTGAGGGGAAAAAAGAATTTTAAAAAGATCAGGTATTTTTCAGTGTGAAAGCTGATACCTCTTTGGAAATGGGGTGCAGGAAGCTGGTGTTGATGGGCTGTAGGACAGAAAGGGAAATGGATCCAAGACAAATTCTATCTCCTTCATGATTTTGCAGTGTCATGACAGCACTAGTATGACTCGAAGAGATACTTATTTTGTCATATATTAATGATTATGACTCAAAAATAAAGTGCTTTTGCCACTCCTTTTTTGAAGATGAAGTACATGTTTCCCCCACTTTCCAAAAGTCGAGTGTTCCTATGAAACGTTTCGTAGGCTGAAATGGAATAAAGTGAAGAAGCAGTTACCATGAATTTACATGGAAACATTTTTGAGCCTTCTCAGATCCAAAAAATAGCCTCTCTTAGGCTTTTCTGATACCTTAGGATGCATCTTGCTAACGGATGCACAAAAGAAATTGAGACACGGCACAGATGCTCACAGCTGCAGTTGAAAGCTCTGGGGGCCAGTACCATGCTGCCTTGGTGATCACAGCTTTGTAATATAGCTTGAAATCGGGCAATGTGATGCCCCCAGCTTTGTTTTTCTTTTTCAACATTTCCTTGGGAATTCGGGGTCTTTTCTGATTCCATACAGATTTTAGGATTGTTTTTTCCAGCACTTTGAAAAATGTCATTGGAATTTTGATCGGGATGGCATTGAAGGTATAGATTGCTCTGGGTAGCATAGACATTTTAACAATGTTTATTCTTCCGATCCATGAGCATGGCATATTTTTCCATCTTTTTGTGTCTTCTTCAATTTCTTTCATGAGTGTTCTGTAGTTCCTAGCGTATAGATCTTTACCTCTTTTGTTAGGTTTATTCCGAGGTATCTTATGGTTTTTGGTGCTATTGTAAATGGAATCGTTCCTCTAATTTCTCTTTCTACAGTTGCATTGTTAGTGTATAAGAAAGCAACTGATTTCTGTGCATTGATTTTGTATCCTGCCACATTACTGAATTGCTGTGTGAGTTCTAGTAATTTGGGGGTGGAGTCTTTTGGGTTTTCCACATAAAGTGTCATGTCATCTGCAAAAAGAGAGAGTTTGACTTCTTCTTTGCCAATTTGAATACCTTTTATTTCTTTTTGTTGTCTGATTGCTGTTGCTAGGACTTCTAGTACTATGTTGAACAGTAGTGGCGAGACCTCTTACACTGTTGGTGGGAATGCAAGTTGGTAGAGCCACTTTGGAAAACAGTGTGGAGGTTCCTCAAAAATTTAAAAATAGAGCTACCCTATGACCCAGCAATTGCACTCCTGGGTATTTTACCCCAAAGACACAGATGTAGTGAAAAGAAGGGCCATATGCACCCCAGTGTTCATAGCAGCAATGTCTGCAATAGCCAAACTGTGGAAAGAGCCGAGATGCCCTTCAACAGATGAATGGATAAAGAAGATGTGGTCCATATATACAATGGAATATTACTCAGCCATCAGAAAGGATGAATACCCAACTTTTACATCAACATGGATGGGACTGGAGGCGATTATGCTAAGTAAAATAAGTCAAGCAGAGAAAGTCAATTATCATATGGTTTCCCTTATTTGTGGAACATAAGGAATAGCATGGAGGACATTAGGAGAAGGAAGGGAAAAATAAAGGGAGGGAAATTGGAGGGAGAGACAAACGATGAGAGACTATGGACTCTGAGAAACAAACAGGGTTTTAGAGGGGAGGGGGGAGGGGGGACTGGTTAGCCCGGTGATGGGTATTAAGGAGGGCACATACTGCATGGAGCACTGGGTGTTATATGAAAACAATGGATCGTGGATCACCACATCAAAACTAATGATGTATGGTGACTAACATAACATAATAAAATTAAAAAAAAAAAAGCTCTGGGGGCGTGGCTTGATGCTGAGATGCTGAGTGTAGCTCCCGGGCTGAAGGAACTCCAAGAGGCCACCCTGGCTGTTGACGGGCGTGCTGCAAAACAAATGCCGATTGCTAGTTTACTTTCCACCTTTTCTCATGAAAGCAAAAATCCTCCTCAGAGTTCTTCCGGTTAGCAAACACTGGTCCTAATGTAGGTCTTTCATAAAAGCAAACTTTTATTTTGCTTTTGCGAACTTTTGGAAAAAGTGGGGGATGCCTGTATATTCACATACTTTTTTAAAGCTAGGTTACACTCTTTAGTTTGGGTCCTTTGTGCTGAACGTTGTGCTGCATACCAGGCAACCCTGTTCTCGGTGATTTTACTGTCTAATCAGATGCAATCACAGCAATATAAAAATATGGTAAGTAGTTACCTGCTGACTAAAGGCCATGCAGTTCAGCAGACAGAGTGATTATTCAGGGGGGAAGTAGTCAGCAGGAGTCATGAAGGAGTCAAGAATTGCTGGTCTTTGAAGGACAGAAGAGGTGTCAGAGAAACAGATGTTTCTCTGAGTGGCATAGACAGGGGATGTGAGGTAGGCATTGGCACTGTGTTTGAGAGGGAAAGTGAAGACTGAACCCACTTCCTTGCAAAACTGAAAAGAAGAGGCTTACTCTCAATATTAATTGGAGACTAGAGATACCTGTATTCTGGCTTCCTATACCCTTAGGCAAGCTGGAAGCCTGAAAAATGTGGTTTCTGAATTTTCTTGATTTCCAGAATAACATGCAGTTGACCCTTGAGCGCAGGGGCTAGGGGTGCCTGTTGACTGGAAGCCTTACTAGTAATGTGAATAGTTGATAAACACATATTTTGTATGTTATATGTATTATGTACTGTATTCTTACAATAAAGTGAGCTAGAGGAAAAGGAATGTGATTGAGAAAATCATTGGGAAGAGGAAATACATTTATAATGCTGTACTATATTTTTTGAAAAGATCCACGAATAAGTGGAACCTGCCGTTCAAACCCGTGTTATTCAAGGATCAACTTGAATTCTTCAAAAGCAAATGATTTCATGAAAGATAGTACTTTCAGAAAACAAGCTAGTAAGCTTTTTTTTTCTTTTTTAAAATTAGGATTAAAAGAGTAAAATTAATATGTAACAAGGGGACTGAAACTGACAATGACTCAAGTTGTCTGCATCCTATCATTAAGAAGAAACAGTGTCGACCAGAGATTAGAATGTGGCAAACAAGAGAGAAAGCAAAATTTTCAGATGGAGATAAGTGCCACAGGGTAAGATTTAGATGATTATATATATACATGTATTTATATATAACAAAATCTTTTCTTTCCCGTGTAAAATTTTGCTGTTCTTAGACTCTCCTAGAGATATCAAATAGATACTAGGTTTGTGTAATTTGTCTTAACAAATAAGTGAAATGTAAAACCACAGGACACGAAAAGGAGAATAACACACGAAGGCTATAGTTTATTCTCTTAATTTCTAGGACTAGAGCTTGTTATTTCAACAGCTACTGATCCAGCCTTTAGCAGTAGGCTGGTAGGTTTCATCAACAGATCAGTGTCGAGGCCGCTGTGTTGTATTCCAGAGATGCAGTTGAGAATATATATGATAGAGGTTTGGGAAACTATTTTCTAGGTGTAGCAGAGATGTTCTGTTTCTAAAACTACACTTCCATTGTATAGTCTTGAAATATTTTCTCATTTGTTAGACTGTGGTGTTTAGTCGTTACAAAACTAGCTAATATTCTTGAGCCATTACTGCAACCAGGCACTATTTACACGTAGTAAGTTGTCTAATTGTCTCCACAGCTCTGTGAGATAGGTGCTTTTATTACCATCACTGTTCAGATGAGGAAGTGGAGCCTCAGGCTAGTTACTTGCCTCTGGTTACATCACTAGTAAGTGGAAGGACCGGGACCCAGATGCAGGCCTGTGCTTCTAACCTCTACGTAATATGTCAGGGAGCCTGTTCAGTTCCAAGAGAGTTCACTGTTTTTCTTCACTGAGACCCAAGTAATATATAGGCTTGTTCAGTTTTGGTTTACTTTCATCATTTCTTCGTTTTACATGCTTTTTTTGTTTTCATATATGCAGCTTACTAGAGTATTATGGGCTGTCCCTTGTGAAGAAATTGCTGTTCTCTTTGTAGGAGGCTTTCAGGCGTCTGGGTAATGGGATTTCAGATGATCTGTCAAGTGAGGAGGACGGTGAAGCCCGGACGCAGATGATGATGTTGCGCAGGAGTGTGGAAGGGGCCTCAAGTGACAACGGCTGTGAAGTTAAGAATAGAAAATCAATACTTACCAGGCACCTAAACACTCAGGTAATTTTTGTTTGTGAAAGTATCGGCATTAACTCCTAAATCATTGAATAGTAACGAGATATTGGACATGTTTTCCTTTTGTTTGTTGTCTTCATTTTTGGCAGGTAAAGAAAACCACTCCCAAGTGGTGTCACATTACACGGGATTCGGATAGTCTGGTCGAATCGGAATTTGAATCAGCGGGCTTCAGTCAGGTAATGTATCCTTTCGACAGGTCCCTGTTCAAGGCCTAGTCCCGAGTGTAATAACTTCATCCATGGCTTTTTTAATTCGTTGTCCTAAAGTAGTGCTTATATTTGCCTGGCCTCCCCTGCCACCAACTGTCTGTCTACCTATCTGGAAGCTTTCATGTGGCTACTCACCCCCAGAAAGCGAAGGAGCTCTGTTTCACTTTGACTCTAATCTTAAAAGCATCCTGGATGAGATGATGCTCAGCAAGAGCTTCCTCAGTCCCCAGAGGACCAAAAGGCTTCCTAATATTTACTTGGAATATGAAGCTTATTCTTAAGCATCATTCCTTTGTAAGTGGCACTAATGCTGATGAAGACAGGTTTTTGAGAAGGGACCCCTGAGAGGTGGGAGCAGCAAATCCCATGATGCAGCTCACGGGCATATTGTCCGTTTGGAAGGTTATCATTCAGAGGTGAGCGGGATAGATGGTGGTAATGTGATTTTTTTTTGTTTCGATTGACAAAGCCATCAGGGTTGTGGAAAAACTTGCGTATTTATGCTTGTACTGCAGAAGAGCTGCATCGTACATCCTTTTCTCAGCCTGACTATCGTTTCCATGTTTGGCCAGGTCCCCGGGATGTGACTGGATCTGCAGTCACGCTCACGGTATTTAGAGTAGGGGACACTTTGGGTATGTCCGAAGGCTTGGCCACACCTATATCCAGGGTAGATCCTTGGGGTATGCTTGCAGAGGTCACTGTCATCCCAGGAAACTTGAGTGGAACCATCTCATGATTTGGCAAAAACTTCTTAGAGGGAGTCCTTTTAGAGTCCTGCTTGTTAGAGAATCATCAGAATTCCAACATTGAAATGTTAAAATGTATTATTGTTACATGAAGCCTTGTGGGGGTCAACTTAAGAAGGCTTGCCAGCCATCACCACAGATAACTTCTTTTACTTTTATTTCAGATATATGATTGCTTTTAAAAATGAATGAAAAAAATATAGTTTTGGTGTTCTGTTTTCCTTGAAAGGGCTCTAGGTCGGGCATGAGTGGTGGCTCTCGAAGCCTCAACATGTTGAGAAGAGACTCAGAAAGCACCCGCCATGACTCGGAGACGGAGGATATGCTGTGGGACGACCTGCTGCACGGCCCAGAGTGCCGGTCGTCTGTCACCAGTGACAGTGAGGGGGCCCGCGTGAACGCCCTTCACTCAGGGGCCAAACGTGACCCCAAAGAAGATGTTTTTCAGCAGGTCTGTAAAGGCGATGGTAATAATAGCCAATACTCACTGTATTTACAGGCCAGGTACCGTATTATCTCATTTGACCTTATCATCATCGTATACGGTAGATACTATTATTATCTCTAATTTAGAGATGAGGAAATTGAACATAGTCTGTAAGTGAAAATGTTGGGATTAGAACTCAGTGGGGGAGTACTCTGGAGTTGCCCTAACCTAAATTTTTCTTCATAATACTTTTTCTCATTATTTTCCTTAGAATGATCCTTAATGTTCATTTTATGTGAGCGGGGTTGTTTGGTCCACCAACCTCATATTTTTGTAGACATCATGGTGTTATATATGAATTACTAAGAAATGGCATTGCTTGGTTCTCTAATAATGTAAAAACCAAGTGATGCTTTTAGTTTTAGGATTTATATTAATATCACAAAATCAGATAGTCTGGAATTAGAGATTCCTTAGAAGGTATTTGAACCTTACAGCTGAGGCAGGAATTCTCATGTGGTAATAATAGTTACTACTTCCTGGGACTATTGTGATAGATCTAATCAGGTAATAAATTGCTTAGCACAATGTCTGGCAAAGAGTGAGCACCCAATAAATGTTAGCATTATTATTTGTACCTGATCAGATGATCAGTGGCCTCTGCTTAAATACTTCTAGAGCTGGAGTGATTATTACTTCATGAGAGAGCTTTTTCCACTGCTGGATAGATTGAATGGTTAGAAGTGGTTCTCAAATCAACATTTCAGATGTTTGGTGGCAATGATCATGATTTCTTCCGTTTTGGTTGTTGTTCTTTAGGCTAAATATTTTCACAGTGATTTATAAATACTGGGTGGTGGATATTCATTTGTTGAATTAGTGAATTTTCTTGACTCTAGGGTACCACTGATTTAGGTTACACATTTTCATGAAAAAAACTTGCCTCATTAGATGTATTCAATTCTTTTTTTTTTTTTTAAAGATTTTATTTATTTATTTGCCAGAGACAGACAGTGAGACAGGGAACACAAGCAGGGGGAGTGGGAGAGGGAGAAGCCGACCTCCCGCCGAGCAGAGAGCCCGATGCGGGGCTCAGTCCCAGGACCCCGGGATCATGACCTGAGCCAAAGGCAGACTCTCAACGACTCAGCCACCCAGGCGCCCTAGATGTACACAATTCTTAAAGACTAACCAGAAACAACATACACTTTCTCATTAAAGCTTTAAGCCTTTTTTCTTTCAATTTTGCTATCAAAGCTTGAATCTAAATATTCTTTACATTCAGTCTGAGGATTCATCTAAATTACATTAGCCCACAGTAGTTATGCATAGCATCCTGATGATCTTGACCTTCTTTGCACTTTTGGGATTTTCAGCATAATTTTAAGGCCTACCTAAGGTAATATGAAACTCACCATATCAAAAGGAATTCATCATTTCCCAATTCCCCTACCTACCCTGTTCTTCTTTTATTCCCCGTATTTTTGAATGCCACCACTGACCATCTGATGCAGAAACCTTGGAGACCCCACCCTCCCCAGCATGTTTCTAATCGGTCCTCACATCCTCTTGACTCCACTGAATAATATCTGTCTGTCTACTGGTGTCTCCCCTCCTTGGGGCTGTCTGGATCATTAACAGCTTCTGTGGGCTTGCTCCCTTCATCTGCTCTTCCATACTGCAGCCGTGATGATGTCATTCCCCTTAAAATCCTTTAACTGCTATTCCCCCCCATTGGGATTATTTGCTTCTGTTTCTTTATTTGCTCCGATACAGTCTCATCCCTGATCATTCCTCCCCCTGCTCTCACATGTTGTACTTTACCGCATTTGAACTTCTTTCAGAGCTGTACCGTTCCCCATGTGCCTCTGGCTTATTTGCCCGGAACACACTTTTCTCTGATACTCGTACCTTTGGCTCACTCCTTTTTCTTTTTCCGATCTTGGCTTGAATGATACTTCCTTAGGAAGCCTTTCTCATTTGCTCCTGAAGCCCTCTTTCCTTCCCTTATCATGCCATGTAGTAACTTTATTTAATCATGTTTCCATCAGTCTGTAAGCTCCTTGATGTCAAGGATAGCGTCTGTCTTGTTCTCCATTGTATCTGTGGCACATGTTACATAGTCGGCACTTCATACATTTTTTTGGCATCATCAATGAATAAATCAATAAATGCTCATCAGCATTATGCTGAGCATTGTAGTAGAAAGAGAAGAAATCACCATGTGATCCTTTTTTTTTTAGAAATTTATATTTTAGTTTGAGGACAAGATGATTATAGGGGAAGTAAGTAGAGGACATTAGAAAAGTAGCATATAATTACATGCTAATTTGTCTGGTATAGACTCTAAGGGTCTTTAATTTCAGAGGAGGGCAGAGTAGTGAGGCTTGTGGCTATGAGCTGACAATATTGGTGAAATGGGACTTGAGTTGGTACTTGAAGAATAAGAATTTATATGGCAGAAGGAAATGGTGCTTTTTTTTTTTTTTTTTTAATCTTGAGCTTTCTAAAGCCTCTGAGTTTTCTATGCTTTTCTGTGTCCTGATTAGGCCAGAGAAAGGCTTAACTCCTCAGTCATTCATGTAACATGTAAGGCCTATTAGCAGCTCTCCTACCTAACTTGCTGCCACCTCCGGTATGGTCACATTGCTCTAGAAATACTTTTCTCCTTAACATGCCACGAATACACCAAGCTTAGCCTCACTTCCAGACCTTTAGACAGGGAAGCCACCTTGAAGATCCTGGAGTCCTGCTTCCCGTCATCACAGAAGACATTTAGCCTCTCTCCAGGTAAGAAATTGGCTTACTGAAGAAGAAGGGACCAGAGATGAGCATCATGGAGGCAGCCATGGGCACGACGAGCTCTGGGAAGGAGAGAGTAGAATGATGAGGGTCCAGCAGTGGTGAATGTGGCCTGAGAACTGAACAATGGGGGAGAAAGCCAACGGAGGAAAGAAAGAAGGGTGGATGTAAATAGTTTTATGTTTTTCTTTTTAGAACCACTTATTCTGGCTTCAGAACTCAAGTCCTGCCTCTGATCGAGTTAGTGCAATCATCTGGGAAGGGAATGAGTGCAAAAAGATGGATATGTCTGTGTTGGAAATAAGTGGCATCATCATGAGCAGGGTAAGATTTCATGAGTTTTCAAACTTTTCAGAAAAGCTGTTTTAATGATCAGCGGTTTCACAGGATCTGTTCAGTGATCAGAACACTGACTCTGCTTCTGAAACACAAATATGTATTTTCTTAGTTTTGTAGTTAGAATCTATACTTGGTAGTATATTTTTGTTATCTGTTACAAAGTCCTCTGTGAACATGATCAATTATTCACATACACTCTGCAAATATTCCTTATCTCAGTCAAGCCTGATTTTTAATGAAATCAAAGAGTCATAAATCTGTACTTCTTTTAGCTATAAAACAGATTTAGTTTTTAATAATCTAAGTAGTACTTGGTAAATACTGCTTCGTAACTCTGTTTAACTGTGTAATAATGATAGGCATTTTAAATTAATTCCCAGGTTAATGCATATCAGCAAGGAGTAGGTTATCAGATGCTGGGAAATGTCGTCACCATTGGATTAGCATTTTTTCCTTTTTTACATCGACTTTTCCGTGAGAAGAGCCTTGACCAGCTAAAGTCCATTTCAGCTGAGGAGATCATGACTCTCTTTTGTGGGGCACCACCTGTTACACCTATTATTATTTTGTCTATGATTAATTTTTTTGAACGATTGTGTCTTACTTGGATTTTTTTTTTCATGATGTGTGTGGCAGAGAGAACATATAAACAGGTCAGTATAGAATTAAGTAGAATTTCTTGCCTCTCCTTTTGCGTATGATATTCCATGGAGTTGACTTTGTTCTCTTGATTTGTTCTCTCTCCAAAAGTTAATGTGAGCAATGAAGGATTGATGAGTGGGCTTTTGGTATTTGTGCGTTAAACACTCGTGATATTGATTATTCACAAATGACATGTTGTAATCTGGCATTTTGCTGAGCTCATGTGTAGGAGTAAGTGGCTTGGGCAGGGACTGAGCCTAGCGGACTGCATAGCACCTGTGCCTCAGTGTGCCTTTATGCTTGTTCACTCATAACATATGTAGTTATTCCCAAAGCCAAAATGTTTCGGTGGGAAATGGTCAAGTGAGAAATAGAGTTACTGAATTTTGATTAGAATTAGGATCTGAGGACTTGATATCTTGGTGATATGTGCAAAAAACGTGATTTTGAATGGAAAGTCTAAACCATAATTCTGTATAAACATTTGTGTTTCTGAAGTTGGGGATTCACAAAGGTCTCCCAAGAATATTCCTTGAAAATGTCAAGAGTGTACCATATTATGAAGACATAGATTACAATGGGATGTGCTTTGGAAGCAACAGGGTCATGAGCTGTTGACTTGATCTAAGTGATCCCTGATTAGAATTTCATCCTTTTATTATTGTTTATATACTGGGAATATTGTTTACAATTATATAAATACATAAACAGAGACACACATGTACCTTTTACTTTGTGATTTCTTTTTAAACCTCCTCTAGAGATTTTTATTTGCAAAACTCTTCAGCCATATTACCTCTGCCAGGAAAGCTAGGAAATATGAAATACCTCATTTCAGACTTAAAAAAGTGGAGAACATTAAGATATGGTTATCACTGCGTTCCTTTCTAAAGGTGAGTTTCATTTGACTAACCATAGAGTGTGTGTGAGAATATGCAGGAAACCTGCTCACTGAAATTTGCTGGCAGCAGATACTCAGTGGGCACTCTAGTTAAGTTCTATGCACTGGACAGATTGTATCAGTGGCCAGCAGATGAGCTGGACTCCAAGTTGGAAGTGATCTATCTGCTGAGTTGGTAGAGGTCAGTAAAAAAGAGTTTAGAAAGGGAAAAGACAATTTAAATTCCTAGGGCAGAATCATAAATTGAAAGTTGCATCTTTCTCTGACATTTTGGAAAATATTCCAGCTGAAAATACATCAGTGAATCACTCACACCCTTAATTTGGAACAGCATGAATTTCAGTGTTTAAAGTTAAACATGTCCAAAATGTGTTAAAATCCTATGCCAGAAACTTCTTCTTTTTTTTAACTAATTAATTTTTTAAATTATGTTATGTTAATCACCATACATTACGTCATTAGTTTTTGATGTGGTGATCCACGATCCATTGTTTTTGTATAACACCCAGTGCTCCATGCGGTACGTGCCCTCCTTAATACCCATCATCGGGCTAACCCATCCCCCCACCCCCTCCCCTCTAGAACCCTCAGTTTGTTTCTCAGAGTCCATAGTCTCTCATGGTTCGTCTCCATCAGAAACTTCTTATAAACATTTATTTTCACATTAATGTAGTTAGATTCAGAATGTGAATGATGTGAGGGCCATTGCTGTCCCCAACTGTAATCTTAAACATTAACTTCTGTGTCTCCACAGAGACGGGGTCCACAGCGTTCAGTTGATGTGGTTGTATCTTCAGTCTTCTTGCTGACACTTTCAATTGCTTTCATTTGCTGTGCCCAGGTAAGAGTTTCATATTTGTTTTAATGAAAAATGGAAATTCTAATATGGTTCACTATCTATTTTAGACGTGTGTGTGTGTGTGTGTGTGTGTGTGTGAGACAAAAATTTATTTCTCAAGAGCAAGGCACTAGCATGGTTGTGTTGAAATATCTATTTTTTTAAATTATCTAAATTTCTTTTGCTATTTTGAATACTTGTTAATTTTCCTTACTTTTGAAATGAGAATAAAGCAATTCTCATTACTCTAAGATCACTCTAATTTTAGTTGGCAATTTTTGATTGATAATAAGGCTGTCATGTCACAAGGGTTACAAAATAGTGATTTTTCTTTTTTTTTTTTTAAAGATTTTATTTATTTATTTATTTGAGAGAAAGAGAGAGAGAGAGAAACAGCATGAGAGGGGAGAGGGTCAGAGGGAGAAGCAGGCTCCCCGCTGAGCAGGGAGCCCGATGTGGGACTCGATCCCAGGACTCCGGGATCATGACCTGAGCCGAAGGCAGTTGCTTAACCAACTGAGCCACCCAGGTGCCCAAAATAGTGATTTTTCTAACTCCATCTTTCCTTCCACACATTTGTTAGTTGTCACTCTATGGTTGACCTTTCCTTTGTTTCTTCTTCCTTCCTTTCTTCCCTTCTTCCTTCTTTTCTTCCTTTCTTTCTTCCTCCCTCCTTCCTTCTTTCCTTCCCTTCCCTTCCCTTCCCTTCCCTTCCCTTCCCTTCCCTTCCCCTTTCCCTTTCCTTCCCCTTCCCCTTCCCTTTCCTTTCCTTTCCTTTCCTTCCATTATGGACTCATATATTCTGATTTTTATCCAATAGATTGTAATCGATTACTCTATTTCTTCTAATGCCTATATTGTCCCAGATTTAGCCAGTCGGAGACCCTTGAAGCTCCCTCCTGTATACTTTCAATAGGTCCCTGTACCTTTTTTTACCAGGTGGACCTTTGTGCTTTCTTCACTATAAGAAGTTACAGGCTTATTCTTGTATTTTTCCATTTATTGAGTTTTAACTTAATTCTACTGTGGTCAGAGAACATATTCTGAATATTTTCACTCTTCTGAAATTTGTAGAGGCTTGCTTTATTATCTGGCATATGGTCCGTTTCATTAAATCCCCATCAGCGCTTTGAACGAACTTTTATTCTGTTGTTTGGGTGAGCAACATTCTCTCTACGTAAATTAGATATGTTGTGTTGCCTGCATCTCCTACATCCTTACTCATGTTTTTGGTCTGCTTATTCTCAGCCATTGGCAAAGGTGTGTTCAATTCCACTATGATGGTGAATTTCTCTTTTTTTCCTTTTATTTCTGTCAGTTTTCACTTCAGATATCTTGAAGCTGACTTTTATGACCTTCATAGTTATTCTTTTTCTCAACCCAGGACCACATGGTGCATTTAGTTATCCTGTCTCTTTAGTCTTCTTTAACCTAGAAAAGTGTCAGGCTGTCTTTATCTTTCATGATCTTATGAAATGTCTCTGAATCTAATGTTTCTTAACTTAAAGTCTACTCTATTTGATATTAACCACACCAGCTGTCTTTTGATTAGTTTTTGCATGTTACCGTTGTCCACCCTTTAATTTATTTTGTCTTCATATCTGAGTCATGTTTCCTGTAATCAACATATCCTTTTTTTTTTTTTTTTTTTAATCTAGCTTCACAGTCTTAGTGTTTTGGATTGTCTGGCTCATTTACATTTAATGTAATTACCATAAATACAAATACTATTTAGTTCTTATTTGGTCTACCTGTTAATTTTCCTTTTTCTCTCCTTTTTTGCCATCTTTTATTAATCTAATATTTTATAGTATTCCATTTAATCCTCTCTGTTAACTTGTTATATGTTCTTTTACTACTACTGACCTCAGAGATTACAACATACATCCTTAGCTTATTATAGTCCAATAAATTATTTATTTCTGCTCCCTTGATAATGCTAGAACCTTAGAACACTTTATCTCATTTACCCATTCACCCATTATTAGTGTCTTTCATTTAAATTTTACATATATTTTAAACCCACAAGATTATTATTTTTTGTAGTCAGTTATTCATTTATATTTACCTACATATTTACCCTTTTCATTAGTTCTTGCATTTCTGTTTTTCTCTGGGATTATTTTCCTCCTGTTTGAATAATCTGCTTGGTGATGAATTCTGTTTTTGTTTGAAAATGCCTTTTATCACTTTCATGTTTAAAGGATGCTTTTGCTGAGTATACATTTCTAGGTTGCCAGTTACTTTCAGTACTCTTAGGATTCTGTTTTCTTCTGATGTCCATGTTTTATCTTGAGAAGTCAGCTGTTTGTCTTATTGCTGCTCTTTTAAAATGTCCTTTTGTCCTTTTAAATGTCCTTTAAAATGTCCTAATGTCCTTTTCCTCTGGCTGGTTTTAAGAGTTTTTCTTTGTGTTTGGTTTTATAGCCATTTGGCTGTGGTTTGTGTGTTACCTATTGCTACGCAACAAACCACCCTGCTGAAGAGGTGGGCCTAGGTTGCAACTAGCTGCTACTTTCATCCCCCAGTTATAACTGATTGGCAGGGGTGAACACTTGACCCAGGCTAAGCTAAATGTATCCCGCTTTTGGGACTTAGAACTGAAAAGCTGAGATAATAGTGGTGGACTTTGGAGAAGAAAGGTTTGGGGGCCAGTGGGGCCAGTAGGGTGCTATGATAACCAAAGCTGGAGCAGGTCAAAGCTGGGGGGAGCAGTAACCAAGGGTCTTGCAAGGCAACAGAATTAGCTAAGAGGAGTGGTGATGTGAACCCAAATGGCCCTCGAGGAAGAGAGATGGAGAAGGGAGCTGCTCTGGGACTTCCTGGTTTTCCAAAGGCCAGCATTTGGTTTCAGTTAGGGTTCTCTGTATACTTTTTCAGTCAGTTCCATTTTACCTTGGGCTTTACTTGAGTAAATTTTGAAAAAACCAAAGACTTTTACCAGAAAACTTGACACATAATAGGCATTTGATAACTGGTAACTGCTGCTGCTGTTTGTTGTTGTTACTACTCCTCAAATGGAGTAAAGAACCCAATCCTCAGGATTTTCTAGTCATACCAGCAGGGTGGGCCACATGTTTTAGGAAGCTCTACTAGTCATATAAATGCAAACTTAATACTTTGAAAAATGTTCACCACATAATCATGAGTAGGCACACTACTGGTTAAAAGGCTGGAAATGTCTTTGTCTTATTTTACTTGTTGTATGTTTTCCTTCTTTGTTACTTTCAGACTTTTGCTGTCTTTCATGCAAAGGGAAAAACCAGAAAACTTAAAGAAATAGTGATTAGTTAAATAGAGAATGCTTCATATGAGTACTAAAACTCTCCTGCTTTGAGTATAAAATATTGGTAACTTATAAATCTTTTTAAATTGCTAAAGGAGTAACTTGAGACAAATGAAAAATTTAACTTTTTTTGGTCCTTTGTATAGGTTCTCCAAGGGCATAAAACTTTCCTGAATGATGCTTATAATTGGGAGTTTTTGATCTGGGAAACAGCTTTACTACTTTTCTTACTGCGTCTGGCTTCACTGGGGTCTGAAACCAATAAGAAATACAGCAATGTTTCAATATTACTTACTGAGCAGGTATTGATTTGTCCTTGTCAGTTTTGTTCTGTGGTTAGAGATGGCATAATAAGATCTGTGCAGAAGATTCAGGGCTGAGTCTAGGTTTAGCACTTTCTAGCTGTATGAACTTACAAGTCACTCTGCTACAATATGTGCTACTATATAAGTGTTTTCTCTTTATAACATGAGGGTAATAATCTTCTCCACCTGTTCCCAACATTGTAAGATTTAAGATCTTATGGACTGAAAGTATATTGTATATTATAAAGGTATCTTTACTGGTGGTAATGGAGCATGTTTTTGATCTCATATTCCACATCAAGTATTAGATCTTTATAGTACTTGTCATTTAAGCATGTTTAATAAGCTTCTTGAATTTCTTCTACATCAGCCATAGAATACATTCAGTGTTTGGAAAATGCTTGCTCTTTAGTATGTGACTGGATTTTAAGACTGGGAAATGTTTCTTATAAATACAGAGTAGTATAAAGGGGTTTTGTTTGTTTTTGATTTCATGTTTATCCATAAGTTATAAATAAAAGCATTTTGGTATCATTACATTTTCTTTTTTTGCCTTAGAATTATAGTGGAGAATATTTCCTAGCAGAGAAAAAATAAGGAAATATAGCAAGTGAAAATCAGCAGCTATCTTCTTACATGCCATTAGTGTTTCCGAGGATGTTAGATTATGTGGGGGACACCAAAAGGAGTAAGGCAGAGCTTTTGAACTGAAGGGATGCACATGTTAATTGTTATAATTAGTATTATACTTTCATTGTTTTGATATTTAAGTTACTTTTTTTTTTTTTAAATCCACTAAGTGGCTTTTCTTTGCCAGATGTGACTGACTGGGCTGGGGGGTAGGGTATGTGACATATGTGTTCTGTAGAAATAACTGCAGGAATTTCAAAATTTATTTTATTTGAAAATATTACTCTCGAATCTGCCAGACTTAATGCAGTATGTACCTATCTTTTTCTGGACATTTACCTAAATCTCTCCTTTTTCCCTTAGATTAATTTATATCTTAAGATGGAGAAAAAGCCGAATAAGAAAGAACAGCTTACTCTAGTAAATAATGTATTAAAGCTGTCCACCAAGTTATTGAAAGTAAGTAACACCCTGTGATACACTTTTACTAGCACTTAAATCAATGCTTTACTTATTGGAGGAGACCCTAGTAACAGATAGATGCCAGGCTGTGTACATTCAGAATGCCCACTTGATAGTTTGGGGTTAATGACTATATAGAAAAAATTTCTCATCTCGTTACCCAGGTTCTGGTTATTGCTGACGTCTGTCACATTTTTCAAATTAAGATTTTTTAAAAATCACAAATAACATAGCGTGCAAACCCACCTTTAAACACTTAGCTAGTGGAAAAGTAGATGAGAGTCCCTTACAGGTTTTTTGAAAGCAGCTATTGAACATGAAGGAAAGATGGCCTGACGTAGTCATCCTCACCCAAGACCTAAAAAACAGCCCAGAAATCACTGGGGGCCATCGAGAGGCCATGGATCTCATCTCTGTTCTTTCCTGTTTTTGTAGGAGCTGGACACACCATTTAGACTCTATGGACTGACAATGAATCCCTTAATCTACAATATCACACGAGTCGTTATCCTTTCTGCTGTCTCAGGTGTTATAAGTGATCTTCTAGGATTTAATATAAGAGTAAGTGGGACCAGTACTCTATAGCATCTGCCTTAGTCTTAAAAATTACCAAATATTATAATCCTTGCTCTTCACCCTGTGTGTGTGTGTGTGTGTGTGTGTGTGTGTGTGTGAGAGAGAGAGAGATTGGGAGACTGGAGAGTGGCATGGAAAGAACTCTTGAGGTAAAATAGACATTTTGATGGTGGTGCACAGGCTTCTTAGCTTAGGTTTTCTCATTTGACACAAGTAGAATAGCCTGGTCTTGAATGGAACACAGAATCAAGTTTGAATCTCATGTCAATCTAGTAGCATGGGCTGGGGAACGGTCATCGTCTCACCTAGGGAAATACACAGAGGTAGAGTGAATGAAAACCCAAGACCCATGAACTGCAGTATGTCATTTCTGACGCTGGGAATTGTTCGTGTTTCTTCTCTATGGTGTTCTGTGGTTGCTATTGTTTTTCTCATGTAAAGGGTTCTCGGTTCATAGTCATGTAAGTGCCCTGGAAACCCCAACTGTTGGTCTTACAACTAACTTATTTTGGTGATTTTCTTTTCTTAGCTGTGGAAAATTAAGTCATAAGCTGAGCCATGTGCCTGGACTCTCCCCTTGCTGGCATCAGTACTGACCCATTAAGGAAGGAGAGGACTTGCAGAAACCATGGGACACCTACCTGCTTGTTCACACACAGAGGTGCCCTCAGCTCTGCCTAATCTTATGAATGGTGTTTTCAGAGGAACAAATCTTTTTCCAGTGGGGCATGCATGCCAAAAATTGTATTTTCACTGTTTTCAAATAATATGAATAGTCAGGAGACTAAAGATCGTGCGTTGTGGGAACATAAGGACAAGTTAGGAAAGTTGATTTGGGGCACTTCAGTGCTGTGACAGTTATATTTACTGCAAGTAGTCTTTTGGGTTACTATGGTAGATGCCTGACGCATGAAGAAAATATCCTCTCTTGGAAATGGCAAATTCAGTACTTTTAAGTCTATACAATTGGAGATTTCTTTTCTCTAGCAAAGAGATATCAAATTTAAACTATTTTAGGTTGAACCCAAATAAAAGAATTTTCTTGGAGAATTTCAGTTTCTAGGCTTTTTTTTTGTGTTGTTGCAGGGAAAAAAATCTTTAACCTGTGAATTTCAGTTAACGGTGGAGAAAATTTTAATTCGTTTACAGTTTTGAAGTTAATTCTAAGAACTGCATAGTTGTTGGGGAAAGAGACATGCATATAATGTGCCATGTAATTCACATACTCGTTCATGTCCATCATACAACATGGATTCCATATAAATCATCTGAGCTGTTGCCTATCACAGTGCTAAGTGAAGCGTGGATAGTTTGTCTGTTGTACGACTCAAGGTACCCGATCCTCGGTTCAATTTCAGGTCCTTAGTGTCTGTACTCAGCCAAGTTATGCCTTTGATGATTTGGATTCTCTCATCAGCATTCCCTGTTACACACACATGCATACACATACGTTAATGAAAACTCTCATAGCCTGCATACAATTCTTGCTCTTAAACCGTCTGCTTCGAAGAATCTATTGAGGCAAATTGAAAGCCTGAACATTTTAATGATAAGATTTTTATGAATTTTTATTTTATCTTATTGTTTTATTGAAATAGAATTAACCTGCAGTGTTATTTTCAGGCATACAATATAATGTTTCAACAATTCTATACTTTAGTCAGTGCTCATCACATGATAAGTGTACTTTCATTCCCCTTCATTTTGTGAATTTTTAGAAGGAAATAATTTAGAAATTTAGGTATTACATGTAAAGTATGTACCCACACAAAATCAGTGTATCGATTATATATATCCTAATGTGCAGGAAGATTTTTGAAGTTTAAAGATGAACTTCTCAAGAGTCCAGGGGTTGAGGTCAGACCTTATCTGGGTTCATATCCTTGGCTCTGCAATTTACTAGCTTCATAATCTAAGGCAAATTACTTAAACTCTGTGTGTCTTAATTTCTTCATCTGTTAATTGGGAATAACGACTACCTAATAGAGTTTTTGTTGTTGTTTTTGTTTTGTTTTGTTTTTTTATTTATTTTATTATGTTATGTTAATCACCATACATTATATCATTAGTTTTTGATGTAGTGTTCCATGAGTCATGGAGTTTTTAAGGTTGAATGAAATGATCATGTAAGGTACTTAATGCACCATATAGTATGTAGCACTTTGTAAATCCATGACAAACGTTTGTTGTTACTATTTAAGACCTTTAAAAATTCTTTCACCAATAGATTCCTATCTGTGAAGATAGAAACATAGGAAGCAAGGTTTCTGAACTAGGAGGGATTACCAAAAATTTGCAGCCATTTTAAATGCTGCATGAGAATTATGATTTCTTTTAAAGGTACAGCCCCATTATAGTGATTTTTGCCTGTAGAAGCAACTGTTTTGTAAAGGCACTTCAGTATCTCATCAGATGACTCCAGAAATCATGCTTTTACTATTTTCCATAAGGAACAATAGCAACTGTGTCAATGCAAGATTGAACTCAGTGCAAATTTCAGATGAACAAAGCTCATGCCTGTATCTTTTCTCCTACAAAAAAGTGCTGTTTGGTTTTTATTTGCAACGTTTACACAGTGAATTGTTTAGTTTAAATGCAGTATTTAGAATAGTTTACTCTGATGGGTTCTGTTACAGTTTAGATAGTGTATAATTGGTTTAAATAATTTTTTCAGGTGGATAAAATTATATATAAGTATAGTTGCTCATGTTGGAAACAGGAATCATTCTTTTTTTTTTTTTTTTAAGATTTTATTTATTTATTTGACAGAGAGAGACACAGTGAGAGAGGGAACACAAGCAGGGGGAGTGGGAGGGAGAGAAGCAGGCCTCTCGTAGAGCAGAGAGCCCGACGCGGGGCTCGATCCCAGGACCCCAGGACCACGACCCGAGCTGAAGGCAGACGCTCAAAGGACCGAGCCACCCAGGCGCCCCCAACAGGAATCATTCTTGACTCCTTCCTCTTCCTCAAACCTCACGTCCAGGCACCAAGTCTTTGAATAACTGTCTTCTAGATATTTTTCTAATCAGTGCACTGTTCTCCATACCCACTTTTACGACCCCAGTCGATGTCAACATTCTTTGATTTTGTGAACAAGTTTATGCTTCCTTTGCTCTTGTCCCCCAATGGGGGATATGGCCCCTTGTCCCCCAAGCCCAATCTATTCTTCTCAGAAAGTTAATGTGTCTTTCCTAAAATGCAACTCATCATTTAGAATCTACTAGTGGCTTACAGTTACTTTGAAGATAAAAATCCAAAATCCTTTTAGCAATGTGTACAAGGCTACCTTGTTGAGAAGGATTTTTGAATCTATATTTGAAAGGTATTTTTGTTGGGTCTAAAACTCTAGTTTTAAAGGTGTTGTTGCTCTACTGTCTCCTGGATTGTGTTGTTTCTGACAAGAAGTCTGCTGTCATTCTTATCTTTTAAAACCTCTGCTGCTTTTAATTTAAGGTTTTTATCAGATTTGTGCAGTTTAATTATAATGTGCATTGGTGGAGTGTTCTTCATGATTTTTGTGCTTGGGGTTTGTTGCACTTATTGGACTTGTGGATTTATATAGTTTAATTTGGGCTGTTAAAATTTTTTAGGAAAAAATTTCCTAAAATAAGTTTTCTGTACCCCACTCTCTCCTGCCTGCTTCCGGGACTCCAAATGACATGTATGTTAGTCTGCTTGAAGTTGTCCCACACCTTACTGATGTTCTGTACATTCCCCATCTTCTTTGTCTTTACTTTTGGATAGTTTCTGTGGCCATGCCTTCAAAGTTCACCAACTTATTCTGTACTAATTTGATGTTAGTCTTACCTAATGTATTTTTGTGGAAATTCGATTTTTTAAAATCTTTCATGTCTCTCTTTAATATGCCATTTCTTTTCTCTATCTTGTTTAACATATTTATAATCGAAATAGTAAATAAAGAGTTATCTGTTCCTCATTTTTGGGTTTGTTTTTAATGATTGATTTTTCTTGTTTTGGGTAATATTTTCCTGCTACTCTGCATGCCTGGTAATTTTTTAATTGGATGTGAATTTTATACTATTGGGCGTTGGGTTTTTGTGTACATGTGTGTATTCTTTTAACTCTTCTTGAGCTTTGTTTTGGAGTGCAGTTAAGTTACTTGGAAGCAGTTTGATCATTTCAAACTTTGTTGGGTGGGCCAGAGCACCATTTAGTCAGGGCTACTTTTCTACCCAACTGAAGCAATATCCCCCTGAGTAGTCAACCCAATGTGTTGTTTATTATATGAGGTTTTTCCAGTTTGACTGTGGGAACACAAACTAGTCCCAGCTTGGAATGTCTCTGCTTGCTTCTTTTTGGTAGTTCTTTCCTTGTTGTTTGGTATTTCCCAACAACAAGTATGGTGCTGATCAGTACTTACCTACAAACTTGAAAGGAACCTCTGCACATTTTTTTGGAACTGTCCTCTCTATGCACCTGTCTTCTCTCTGGTACTGTCTTTTGCAAACTCCAGCTGTCTTGGCCTTTCCAAATTCTTAACTCTGCCTTCTCAACACAGCAAGACTGCTTGGTTTGGTTTGGGTTCCCCCTTCCTGTACCACAGCCTAGACATGGCCGGTAAGCAGTAATCTGGGGCAGTCATGGGGCTCAACTCATCTAATTCCTTTCTTACTGTCTGTTGTCCAACATTTAAAACCCATTTTTCATATATGTTTTTCCTTTTTTTTTTTTCTTCAGTTGTTTAAGGTGGGAGAGTAAATGTCTTTCCCACCTTAGTTAATGGAACAAAGTTTACTCAGTTGCTTAGGGTTTCTTCTTGGGGCTCCTCTCTTTTCCTCCATATCTAATCCACCAGCAAATTGTGTCAGTTCTACATTTCCACTGCTACTAGGTTAAGCCTCCTTCACTTTCACCTGAATTAACATGCTGAGCCTTTCCATTCTTGCTTCCTACAGTTGGTTCTCCACAGCCACATGAATGAGCTTAAAAATATGGAAACTGTATACTTAGATCATTCCTACTAAAGCCCTTCCTGGCTTTCCCTGTGGTGGCCTCCAAGGTCCTTCATTATCAGGCTTGCCTCCTTTTCCAACTTCATTCCTCAAAACCATACAACCATACTGGCCTCCCTGTATTCCTCCATTACACCAGGTTCTTTCTCATATCAGATTTGTGCCCACAATACATTTTCTTATGTTCTCCCCTGATTGGCTGTTCAGTTGTCTGTTCCTCTGATGACCCTAAAGTAGCTCCCTGTCTTTCCTTGTTATCAGTTACATGGCCCTATTCATTTCCTTCAGGGCACTTATCATAATCTGATCATCTTGGTTTTTTTTATTTTTACTGCAGACAAGTCCTTTATTTTTTAAAAATTATTTGCTTTTAATTAAAGTATAGTTGATATACAATATTAGTTTCAGGTGTATAATATAGTGATTTGACATTTATATACATTATAAAATGCTCACCACAGTAAGTATAGTTACCATCTGTCACCATACAAAGTTATTACAATATTATTGACTACATTCCCCATGCTGTACTTATACCCCATTTTATTCACAATAAAAAGCTTATTTATTTTATAACTGGAAGTTTGTACCTCTTAATCCCCTTCGCCTATCTCACTCATCTTCTTATTCCCCTCCCTTCTGGCAGCCACCACTTTGTTCTCTGTATTTATAAGTGTTTCTGTTTTGTCTTTCAGATTCCACATATAAGTGAAATCCTATGGTATTTGTGTTTCTCTGTCTTATTTCACCTTGCGTAACACCTTTTAGGTCTATCCATGTCACAGATGGCAGGATTTCATTCTTTTTTACGGTTGACTAATGTTCTTGTGTGTGTGTGTGTGTGTGTGTGTGTGTGCACACAGTATCTTCTTTATTCGTTCATCCATCAGTGGGCACTTGGGTTGCTTCCTTATCTTGGCTGTTGTAAATAAACACAGGGAAGTATGTATCTTTTCAAATTAGTGTTTTTGTTTTCCTTGGGTAAATACCCAGTGGTACTATGATCCAGTAAGATCATATGGTATTTGTCTTTTTAATTTTTTGAGGAACCTCCATGCTGTTTTCCAAAATGGCTGC